TTTTTTTTGAGGAACAACTAAAATGTTTTTCATAGCAGCTGCACCACTTTACATTTCCAACAGCAGTGAACAAGGGTTCCAATTACTCCACATTCTCACCTACACTTATTATTATTATTTTTTGTAATAGCCATTCTAATGAGTATAAAATGGGTCACTCTGAATCTTTGAATGGTTTGGTTTTACCCAATTGTCTTTCATATCTCTTAATTATTTTGTATCTTTGAAAGCTATCTTTGCTGTATTAAATAGACTTCTGTCATCTTGAATTTCTTCATTTCTTTATTTATCTAGTCTTCAAATAGATGTCTCAACATCTGCCAGTACTGTCCTGTGTGCTAGGTAACCATGGCGAGCAGGATAATCACAGCTCTCTAGAAGTTCAGGATTGAGTTTGGTCATGTAGTACATAATTATGGTGGTTTGTTACTCAACAGCATAAATTATCTCATTTATAGCTACATTTGAAAATATCATCATTCAAATTGTATATGACAAAAACTTGATTACACAAAACACTGAGGTTATTATTTCTGGATTATACAAAACACTCAAGTTATTATTCAGGTTTTCTGGATATATGCAGGCTTGACCTGTAGGCCCTTATTTTTTTATTTTTTAGAGCAGTTTTGAATTTACTGCGTGGTTAGTATAGCGAGTTCTCATAAGTCCCACACCCAACTCTTGACATCTTACTTTAGTATGGCACACTTGTCACAATTGATGAACCAATAGAGATACATTATTATTAACTAAAGTCCGTTGTTTATTCAAATTTTCCTAGTTTCTATCTAATGTCTTTTTCCATTCCAGGATCTCATCCAGGACACCACATTGCATTCAGTTGTCACATCTGCTTAGGCTCTATCAAGGTGACAGTTTCACAGACTTCCCTTGTTTTTGATGACCTTGACGGTTTTGAGGCATACTGTTAGGTGTGTTGTAGACTGTTTCTCTACTGCGATTTGTCTGATGATTTCCTCATGACTAGACTGAGGTCATAGGTTTTGGGGAGGAAGACCACAGAGGTAAAGTCTATTTTCTTCACATCATATCAAGGGTATACACTACGCACATGACTTATCACTGTTGGAGTTAACCTTGATCACCTGGCAGGGGTAGTGTTTGTTGGGTTTCTCCATTGTAAAGTTACTCTTTTTTCCCTTTCTTTATACACCGCACTCTTTGAAAGGAAGAGTATCCCTATGTGCCCCTACTGAAAAAGTGAATGTTTTTGCTCCCTCTCTTGGAGGGTGGTGTATCTACATAAACTATTTGAAATTCTTCTACTTGGGAGATTTGTCTCTTCTCCCACATTCATTCATTTATTCAATGATTTATTTATATCAGTGTGACTCATGGGTATTTGTGTTATATGTTAGGTGGTACTTCGGTACTACTTTATTTTTTTGCTCAACTTGTTCCAACTCTGACCATTGGGAGCTCCTTTTGTTGGCTCCTGTGTCCCTTTGTTATACTTTCAAATCATTGCATGTATTTGGGTGTACAAGTGGGTGTGTTTGTCATTGCTTGAGCTCTTTGGTACTTTCTAGCACTACAAATTGCTCCAGGCTCTTCTTGTATATTTCCTGCCTGAGTGCTAGAATCAGCCATCTCCAAGGATTCCCAGTTTCTTTTACTGTAGAATAGTCTTAGAAATCAAGATCTGGGTACTAGTTATGCTTATTGCTATAGGGGTATCATTGCATCTAGGCCCTCTAAGCAGATCCTCAATTTTGATGACTATTTTAGGCATTTTGAATGAAAATATTAACAAAATATATTACAGATTTTTGTTCATTCAGAACAGAATGCAATCAACATAATTTAACCTGTTCTTGGGAACTTGGGTATTTTCTTGAGTGCATGATACAGTATTTACGATTTGAAAGACTGTTCATATGATGTGACGACACACTGTTGTGCTGTTTGAGTTTTGTTCTTGCTTTTTGTAATTTTTCTATTTTATTTTCTTGGTGACTTTATAAATCTCCTCTCTTCCCCTCTAGTTTACTGTTCATAATCTACTATCTGCTCAGGACTCAGAAAACCAAGTTTGGTCAACTTGTCCATGAAGCAAAAGCCAAGAGACACTGAGTAAAGATCTAAGAGTCAGAGCAGTAAGTAAAATGGATCTTGTAACACCCATTTGAGATCACTCAGAAAGATCCCTTTCCTTTCTTCTTTTCCTTACTTCCTGTTTTCTGCTGTGTACTACTTGGATAACAATACTCAGTCAGTTCAGTCTATATGTTTTAAATGTGAACATCAAATGTATATGAGGTACTGGTTTGACCATGTGATTCAGTGTCCAGGACTTGAGATTAATTTTAGAGAGCTCTCAGGTGCAGTGAAAGGAACAGGAACCTTGAAATCAGTAGACTTGAAATAATGCATTTTAGCTCTGTCTTGCTCTGTGACACTCAGCCCTAGGGGAGTTAGTCTTGTTGAGCCCTAGATTTCCATCCAGCTCTAGTGTCCTGTGACTTTGGAGTGAACTTTAGTCATCTTAGAGCAATGTGATCAAATGGGTGAGAGAGAGCATGTAATCTTAGTCAAGCTGCCAACAGACTGAGTGACCTTGGCAGAGCCATTCTGAAAGTATCTATCTCAGAGACAGACACATGTACATGTGGTCACTTTTTTTTTTTTTTTTTTTTTAGTCAGGGTCTCACTGTGTTGCCCAGGCTGGAGTGCAGTGGCACAATCACAGCTCACCATGGCCTTGACATTCTGGGCTCAGGTGATCCTTCCACCTCAGCCTCCTGAGTAGCTGGAACTACAGATACACACCACCATATCTGGCTATTTTTTTTTTTTTTTTACTTTTAGCAATGACATGGTCTCACTATGTTGGCCAGGCTGGTCCTGAACTCCTGGGCGTAAGTGATCCTCCCACCTCAGCCCCCCAAAGTGCTGGAATTATAGGCATGAGCCACCACACCCAGTGGCCACTTATTATATAAGAAGAAAGAGGGAAAGCCTGGATTGTGTGTGGACAAGATCAGGACAACTGGATCACTCTATGGCAGAAAAGAACACTTCACATCAGGTAACTAGATGGATTAAATCCTCAAATGAGAAAGATTAAAGTACAAAGTTATAAAAGAAAATTCAGGAGTATATTTCTATGATTAGGAGTGAGAAAGGCCTTAAACAAATTTCAAAAACACAAACCAAGCCGGGGTCGGTGGCTCAGCCTGTAATCCTGCGCCTTTGGGAGGCTGAGGTGAGTGGATTGCTTGAGCCCATGGGTTCGAGACCCGCTGGGCAACTTG